GCTTCTTCTAAGTTAGAGTCAACAGAAATAAAACAACACACGTAATCTCATATTACCTCCTAGGGGACATACATGGAATTACAGCTGATTTTATTTTTATTCCCATGCAACAACTATAAAAGTTCTAAATGTGGCTCACGCGTTTTTACTCTCTAAAAGATTTTAGCAACTGATTTTAGCTGTAGAAGTGAGATAAATATACAATTAAATAACATTACTCATTTAATTCACAGAGTTATCATTTGTGTTAGGTCCCTCTCTATGATTTAGCTGTAATTTGTTTAACTGGTACATTTTGTTTTTTTTCTCAGCACAACTAAATTGTGATTTCATTGTGAATCATACTCTCACAAATATCTAGCCTGGATATTATTTTTTTCTCTTTTTGTGTTTAACCCACTCTTGTGTGCCAAGTAAACAATCATTTCCTTTAGTTATTTTCCTTTTTTGTTTTCAATCGGCATTTTTTTTTTCTAGGTGAAAGACTGCTGTTTAATGTTTTTCGAACACCTCCTGGACACGGGAATGTAACGGTCCACTGGAAAATTATTGGTCAGCGTTTGGAACTAAACTTTGAGAACAGCACAGGTTTATTACACTTCCCGGAGGTATGTTGGGCTACTTTACAGTGTGAGGAGTTTAAAAAGGATTTACTTAACAGTATTGGAATTATGTAGTAAAATATATTTGATATATTATAAGATAAAAGATGTAAATATTATAACAGTTTATCTAACATATTTTGTGGTACACAAGATGTGGTTGTAGACTGCAATACAACAGCTTACTGTACATTTGTATCATTTAATGGAAAATTGTTGTATCTTTAACTCTTATGTGGTCTTATACAAAAGAGTTGTGGGTATAATTGTAGATTATGCTAGCTTTAGTGTACCTATAATCTTAATTTTATTAATGACAGGAGGCGAGTATTTGCTTAAGACTTTCTTTACTTAAGCTTCACAGCAGCACTTTTTCACATAGTAACAAGGTAACCAATAAGAAAAAAGGAATAACAAGGTATATAAGTCCCTCCCAGTGATGTCATTTCCTCTTTCTGGCTGCGAACAAATAGGAACCGTAACTGAAGAAACCAGATGAGTGATTCAGGATGCCAGACTTGAGGAGTGATGCTTGAGAGGGAGACAGGAACGTAGGTTTGAGAACTTGAGGAGTAGAGGAGAAGCTTGTGCTGGAGCAGCAACTAGGCTGTATCTCTTAAGGGAGTTTTATGCTGAAACGAGAGAGCAGAGTCGAAACCAAGGATTAATCCGTGAATTGGACTTTGAAATTATGATAACCAATTGATATGAAACATACATTACAGCTCTCTAGAAAAGTTAATCTATACATCATAGAAAAATAACTCCTAACCCCCATGGAAGTTAGGCGTAGTGTGTTCGGTCTTAATTTAGAAACTTACCTACAGTGGCGACCCTAGGGTGGGTAAAAAACGAAAGTAGGAGTGGTGGGAAATACTCGCCTCCTGTCATTAATAAAATTAAGATTATAGGTACACTAAAGCTAGCATAATCTACAATTTTATAACATGACAGGAGGCTTCGTATTTGCTGTTTTAACGCTCCCCGAAAAGGGCCAAGGAAGCGTGCACAGCCGGACGAAAGTAGAAGTCGCGGAACGTCTGTTCTCGGGACCAGTCAGCGGATTGAAGAATGTCACGAAGCGAGGCTCCAGCGCTGAACGCCCCCGATGCCGCTGCTCCTCTGATGGAGTGGGCTCCGAAGGAGGCTTCAATCCCGGCTAGGGAGAGCAACCACCTAACCCATCGGGCCAGGGTTGTGGTTGACACTGGATTATGTGGCCGGACATATGAGATCAAAAGTTGGCTGGAAGACGTTGGACGAAGAGAGGAGGTGAGAAACAAATAACGAGATAGAAGAGATACCACACACAGCTTCGGGTGGTTAGGAAAGTAAGGATAAAAAATAGAAGAAGAGTTTGATTTTGTCCGTCTGGACACGGAGAAAGAGACACCCTCTGGGGAAAAGTTGATAGCATCATGGTCAAATGCTCGAACATCCGACACTCGTCGGAAGGACACTAAGCAAAGCAAGAGGGTGAATTTTGCTGAGAGTTGACGAAGGGATAGATCTTCGTTGCTCGGCCAGGACTCGAGGAAACGAATCATGACATTAACGTCCCAGAGATGGGAGTATTTTGGTTTAGGGGGGCGAGCCAGTTTGATGCCCCGCAATAGTCTACAAACCAGCTGATCCTGGCCCACCGGAACTCCGTCTAGAGGAACATGGGCTGCCGAGATGGCTGAACGGGAAACGTTGATGGATCTGTAGGAACGGCCTAGATCGAATAGATGAGAGAGGAAATTCAAAATGAACTGTCTAGGGGCCGTAAGGGGATCGGTATTCCATTCCAGGCACCAATTGCACCAAGCGTTCCAGGAGGAAAGATAGCATCTTCTAGTTCCAGGAGCCCACGAATCCCAGAGGAGTTCCTTAGATCTCTGCGATAGTCCTCCGAAGTGCCAGGTTCCCCTGAAAGAGTCCAGGCTACAAGTTGGAGGTGGCCTTGTGTCACCATAGGATGAAGGTTCCCTTGAGGGTCCTCCAGGAGATTGGGCCATGGAGGCAGAAGGAGGGGCTCTTGGCAGGAAAGGTCCAGAAGATCCGGAAACCAAGCTTGGCCCCGCCATAGTGGGGTGAGTAGTACCAGAGTGATCTGTTGTCTGCGAATCTGAAGGAGGACTCTGGGGATCATTGCAAACGGAGGAAAGGCATAGGCTCCTGTTGTCGGCCAACTCTGAAGGAAGGCATCTACCGCTAAACATTCTGGGTCTGGAAGCCAGCTGAAAAACCGTGGGACTTGAAAGTTCGTCCGGGAGGCGAACACGTCTAGGGTAAACGGGCCCCTGAGTTTGGAGATGTGGAGGAAGATTGTTCTGTGTAGGCGCCAGTCGCTGCCGTCTCTCCAATGTCGGGAGAACCAATCTGCGGTGATGTTCGATTCCCCTGGGAGATATTCTGCTCGAAGTGAGATGTTGCGTTGGAAGCAAAACTCGTAGATGTCTTTTGTCACTTCGGAGAGGATGCGGGATCTGGCCCCGCCCAACTTGTTGATGTAGTGGACAGCTGAGATATTGTCCATCCGAAGGAGAATACAGCAGTTCGAGAGATGGTTGGTTAAACTGCGAATTGCGAACGAGCCTGCGATTAACTCCAGACAATTGATGTGGAGAAGGTGTTCTGAGGTGGTCCATGGTCCTCCGGTGGAGGTTGTAAGACAGGTTGTACCCCAACCCTGGAGACTCGCATCTGACTCCACTACATAGTCCGGGGTAGGACCGAAAATTGCCTTGCCGTTCCAGGCCGACATGTGGCGGAGCCACCAAAGGAGTTCCTCCCTCACCTCCATAGTGATCGGGACCCTCTGGTCGTATGAAGGATGAGTCCGAAGGAATTGGGCTTTCAAGCGTTGCATGGCCCGGTAGTGAAGGGGGCCTGGGTAGATTGCTTGAATAGAAGCAGAAAGTAGGCCTACGATTCGAGCTAACCCTCGGAGAGGTAAATCCTCTTGACGAAGTGTTTTGCGTAGTTCCTTCCTGATCGCAGTTAACTTGGATTGAGGTAGACGAAGAGCACAGGTTGAAGAATCGATCTCGAAGCCGAGAAATTGAATAACTCTGGATGGGGACAGTGACGATTTCTCTTGGTTTATGACGAACCCCAAAGATTCGATCAATGTAGATGCATAGTTCGTCTGTGAACGCAGTCTGGATGCGTCTTCGCAGAGAAGCAAGAGGTCGTCGAGGTAAATCAAACAGCGGATGCCGTTTTCTCGAAGATGTGCGGTGACTGGTTTGAGCAGTTTGGTGAAGCACCACGAGGCGGAACTCAGACCGAATGGAAGGCAGGTGAATTGATAAATCCGGTGGTGCCAAAGAAAGCGGAGAAAACGTTGACTGGATGGGTGGACTGGAACCGAGAGGTAAGCGTCCTTTAGGTCGAGGCGAGTGAACCAATCGCCTGGTCAGAGAATGTCTCTGAGGAGATGAATCCCTTCCATCTTGAAATGTCTGTAAATAACGAAAGAGTTTAGTTGACGGAGGTTGATTACTGGGCGAAAGCCCCCTGATTTCTTCTTGACTAAGAAGATGGAGCTGAGGAAACCTTCGTCTAGAGGAGCGAGTTGAATCGCTTCTTTTGTCAAAAGAGAGCGTAGTTCTGAATCTAGAAGGAGATTCTGAGACTTTGACATTTGTGGATAGTAAGGGTAATCTGTTTGAGAAGGGAGAGAGTGAAATTCTATGGAATAACCCTGAATTTGTGGTCCAGAAACGGCTGACTGTACGACCCCTTGTACGGCCAGCCCTGCCAAAAACCCGTGAGGGTTGATGATGAAATACCCTTTTCATGGATGATTGCGCCTTGTTTAGTGTGGCGTATAGGTTTACATGCTTATGCAATTCTTTAATATAGGGTTCTCCAAACAATAGGCCCTTTGCTTTGGGGCCCAATTCTTTGGATCCCAAGTCCGCTAACTTGGAATCCATACGCAGCAGCACTGCTTTTCTACGCTCAGTACAGAGGGATGTATTTGCATTGCCCAGCAGGCAAATAGAGCGTAGCGCCCATTCTCTAATCACAGATGGGTCTAGAGGGCCTTCATTAGATAAGGCTTCATCAGCCAGTAGAAGAATTTTAGCTAGAGGTCCTAAGATATCTAGCATTTTATCTTGGGTGAGGCGTAGGCTGCGCTCAATGCCCTTCCTTGGGTCACGGCCCGATCTGGCCAGATATGTATAGAGTAGCGTATCAAACTCCGGGGTCACCGCGACCTTATCCGGTAGAGTGGGTCTAGGGCATTCCGCTCGTAGTCTTTTCCGAATCTCCCGGTCTAGGGGCCTTCTGATCCAGAAATGAATATACTGGGAAAGATGGTCTGGTAGTGACCATTCAGATGATCGGGGATATCTAATTTGCCTCGGGTCAAAAAGAGGCTGGCCAAGTGTATCCAGAAAAAATTCAGTGTCTCCAGATGGATTCGATCCGGGTATCGTATCTTCGGTTGGGAGTTCTCCCAGGATAGATTGAGGGTGAGGTGCTCCCTTAAAAAAAAGGTCTCAGGGCAGTCTTCCTCATCTTCTGAGGAGTGGTCAGCTTGCCATTCATCTAGGATGGCTAAGGGGTGTAAGTCGAAAGAGTCTTCTTCCTCTTCCGACAGAGTAGGCTGGATGGAGTGTTTCTCTCTAACATCCGCCTGTTTAGGGCGTTTCGCCGGTTCTTTCCCCTTGCGTTTGAGTGGTTCAGGCCCATTCCCTTTCCAATAACGTTTACTGGGTTTGGAAGGGTTCCTTTTTGAGGAGTCTGAATCCTCCGCATCTTCATCAGAATGCGGGGTTCCTGAACTTTTAGGCTCTTTTGATTCAACGGGCAGCACCCGAGCCAGGGCCTTTTCTAGTGAAGCAGCCACAGCTGCATTAATAATTGCTTGCAAGTTTTTATCTTGATTTGAAGCCTCCATAGCAACAGTGGCACCTATGGGGCAGAATAGGCCAGTGTTAGAGTGTATAGTAAGGCCGTCACGAAAAATCACAGTATTTTATAATTCCACATTGCAAGCTGTAATTGGGGGTCACCCAGTATAAATCACCTCAGGGAATACTTTTTCATACCCGTATAGAGGTATAGTGGCACAGACAAAGCGGGCCAATCATGGGCTGTATAAAGTAACAGCAATCATATATTAAATTTAGGTAATTAACCTTACACATGCACAATATAAATATGAGATGTATCAATCGTGAAGGATATATGAGGAATTGTTCAAAATAACTATATAGAGAAAAGTGACTCCATTTATATGTAGTAATATAATGGTGTAAATCCAAGTAAAATGGTATTGTAGGAAAATAAAATGTGCAAGATAGTTTGGATGCAGTATAAATTTCACCACCAGGGGGAGGTAGACTGAGGCAAAGGTGCACTAAGCTTTGAAGTAAAGTTCCCTTCAATGTGACTGATGGGAGTAGAATTATGAGAGACTTATGGGAAGATGATAATTAAACTGGTAAATTGAGGGCAGTAAAGTTTAAAATAAATAAATATAAATACATATAACCGCTATCTAAAGCGGTATAATGGCCGCCGCACGGCCGGGGTGAAATGCGAATCACGGCTCCAGGAAAATGGCCGCCGCGATCTCGCGCGTGCGCACTAGAGACGGCCGTGTGGATCTCGCGGAGGAGCGCGAGATCCAAGATGGCCGCCGTGCGCACTGAGGACCGGTGGAGGCGTTCCCCACGGTCCGAAAAGCCCGGGAAAACGGGGCAAAATGCCGCACGAAGAAAAACCGGGCTAGAGCAAGGTAAAAACAATAAAAGGGGAAAAATTAGACAAGATAGTGAGAAGTAAAAGGAAATACCAAAGAAATACCAAAGAAAAAATAAATAAAATGAGGGAAAAACATATATTAAATAGCTAAATTTAGGAAGTAAAAGGTAAAAGAGCAGAGTCAAAAGTATATGATAAGTAGGGTATGTATATATATACAGAGAAATGAATAAAGCATATGACAGATAAATTAGTAAATAAACCACAGAAACCCACAGAAGTAGGAGACAGTGGCACTCTGACCTGTACTGATGTGAAGCAGCAAAGAAAGAGGAAATGACATCACTGGGAGGGACTTATATACCTTGTTATTCCTTTTTTCTTATTGGTTACCTTGTTACTATGTGAAAAAGTGCTGCTGTGAAGCTTAAGTAAAGAAAGTCTTAAGCAAATACGAAGCCTCCTGTCATGTTATAAAATTAAAGGTTACTTAAATAACTGTGTTTAAATAAAGCAATGTTTTTAGTTGGAGTAGCCCGTCCCCTCAAACAACAAAATAGCTAAAACCCACCTCCGTTCTAGCACCAAGGACAAGTTCTCCCTAGAACTAATTCCTCCTTCACTGACTTCACTCTTCCTTGCTGGAGGGAGATGGATGTCAGGGAGGAGAGCCTAGGTGTGTGGGGTGTTCTACCACTGACCAAAGACAGATGTCAAATAATGTATATACAGAATTGGCATTAGCCAGCCCAGAACTCTTGCTCCGCTGTGGCTAATGACACACTGCACATACAAACTCCAGCCTCTATGACTGCTTCAAATCAGTAAAGTGGCCATGGTGCAGCCTAAAGCAATGTAGACGTGTGTCGTATTTGACCAACTCTCACACTCTAACCATTAGAAGACAGAAAGCTTTTGTTTTTTTTACTACTATAAATTAAACTGAACTGGATTCCTGTAATTTACTTTGATGTGCATTTGGAATAGAAACTGTCTAACAGCAGTAACAAGCTATTGACCATTTGCTGACGTTGGTTTTATCTGAGACTGTTTTCCAGACTTTCATAGCTGATAAACAGTTTCTCTCGTTGTTTGACGAACAGGGATTGCTGAATACAAGTTTTGTCGTCTACCTGTTGGATGATCAGATTCCTGAAGAAAAAGAAGAATATCACCTTATTCTGTACAATGTCACAACTCAAGGTTGTAAGATCACCGTATACCCATTCTGAAATGCAGCCCATTCATGTATTGCATCATAAATTATTCCCCAATAGAATTTGCAATTGACAACTGTCATCATTATATTCCAAATCTATTGCAGGTGATATTTACTACATAAAATAAGAATATTGTGTTTATTGTTGATTATTTACCCTTGTAATTTCATTCCTTGTTATCGATTCAGGTGCGATCTGAATTAATGTGTAATTGTTGGCAGTGATTCATTATTTTGATGAATATCTACAAGTGGTGTTCCAAGTGTGTCCATTGAACACCTAATGCAAATTCCTGTGTCCCTGGCTTATGTGTACAAAGGCAAAATCTAGGCTTTCTCTATATATACCTGGAGATCACTAGAGCAAACATTTGTATTTTGTAAAAAATTTTTAATTAGTATTTTCCAAGTAATATTTAGATGCCTTTTTCTAGATGCATACCCTAATGCTATGTGCTGCACATATCTATCAACTCTTATGGATGTTAATGTGGTGGCAATTTCCATAATTTCACGTAGATATGTCAAATAGATTTATATGATATTATGATAATTTTGCTCATGATTATTTAATGTTTTAGGTATATCAGGCACTGGGGCAGCTGCCCTTGATAAACAAGGCTATGAGGCCGTCCTGACTGTGGAGGCCAGTGATGAACCTCACGGTGTATTAAATTTTGCTCCTTCTTCAAGAATTGTTTTTACAGAAGAAAGAAATAAGACAATTCAACTTTTCATCAACCGAGAGTATGGATCCTTAGGTTTGTTTCATACCATGTTGTCTGCGTACTAGGTAGTTACAATCTATGATGTCAGTAAGACATCATAGGTTCAAAGAACTATACATAAATATTTTTCACATTGGATTGCGTTTATGGTGACCTTGTTTTCATGTTCACATTTTTTTGTCAAGTGATTTTTGAAAGCAACGTACAGGGAGGGTTGGCAAGTGTTTTCTTCATTCATTTCAATAGACATGAATTAAAAAAAAATAATGGGATGTTATTAATATAAAGATTATATTAACATATTAAACAATTATGACAGTGATTCTTTAAGGATGATATTTTAGCTTGTGTAGGAGTTGAAATGATCATTTTGAACCAGGTAGTCTCTGAAACCATGATAGCATATATAAAGACATTCAAAGAATCTGTCATATTTCCTCTGCATATCCTATACTTGTGTTATAGGCAGGAATCTCATAATGCAATAATTACAGATCTTTAAGGTACACTCTGGGCACCATAACAACTTCATCTAAATGTTTTTAGTTGGAGTAGCCCTTCCCCTCAAACAACAAAATAGCTAACAATGAAGTTGTTATGATGCCAGGAGGTCCCTGGTGCATTCTAACCTGAATAAGTTAAATCATTCTCAAACAGTTTGATCCCAAATGTTGCCTCTAGCACCAGATCTCCATTTGCACAGCAGAATCCGGCTTCAGCAGTTGATGTTCAGGTATTGTGGAGTCAACGGGCAGGGATGCTGCTGATTGGCTTTATTGGTCAGTTGATGCTCTAAGCCAATCAGGAGCTCCCCATCCATAAAAACCCCCATAAGTTTAATATATAAGTACATTGATATTGTGTGGGGAAATCAAGAAAACCTTAGCATTTATTCAGTTTATTCCTCTTAGACATCTGCAATTTTCCACCTTCTGTCCTTACACCACGTAAGTCAAATGATATATTTCATTTAAATACAGTGTTAAGTTGAGGGATTGTTCACCTAGTCACCTTTAGATTTGCTTTATTAAACCCTTACGTGCTTTATCAAAGGCTTACGTGCTTTATTAAAGGCTTACGTGCATATTCCATTGCCAGTTGAATGCATAGTCCCATAGTCACTTGAAGAAACTGATCTCTTTATAATACAGTCTCTTTTATATGTTTTTCAGGGGATATTAATGTTACTTATACAACGAGTGTGGATTTGCTGAATGCACCGAATCAGACGGGGCAGATGCATGTTGCGGAGCCAGGACTGGATTACATAGCCATCTCTGGATCACTAATCCTCGAAGATGGGGACACAACTGCAGCTATTTATGTGACTATCTTAGAGGTATGGCTCGCTATTTACTGGTCTAAGTGTTATTGTATTATGGCCTTGATTTAATAAAGATTTGATATTTGGAAAAATATAACATTCTTGAAAAATTTACATATTTTTGATATATTTATACATATCAACTTTTTAAAATATTTTGAAAAGCCATTAACATATTTTTTTTGAGAAAGCTTATCCACAAATATTACATAGAGGCCTTTAATGGGCAAATATACCCCAGGACATACTTGAAAATGAGAGAAATCTCAATGTATCCATCCCCGTAAAATATTTTTAAATAAAAATATAAATAAATAAATATCATGCAATGTCGTGGTAGTTTGAAGTCAGTTTCTAGATAAAGCACAATTAAAATCACAATAAAACCTGAGAAATGTGCTTTTAAAATTTTTAAAGCTATGCTAAGAGATATCATGCATATGTCTTGTCATGGATATGTATTAATTAATGAATCTTGTTATTCCTTCTACAGGATGACTTTCCTGAACTTCAAGAGTATATTCTGGTGACTCTGGTCTCAGTGGAACTCACTGTGAAATTAATAACCTCATCTCCTCCAAGATTGGGTATTGTGATTTTATACTAACAATCTAATAGCCTCATAGAATCAAATTGTATAGGCTTCAAACGTTAATGTAAATTGGGACATCATTAATGTATAACTGGTGGAAATAAAAAGCCCACGAACATTCATTATAATTTTTTCTTGAATTCACTGACAGTAAAGGAAAAATAATGCATGATACATGATCAATGATTTGTATTTTCTCTAATAAAATATACATTTAAATTATTAACTCAATCTTAAAAAATTTTTTTAAGGAAAAGCTACATTATTTTAATTTTTTTTAAATTAGTAAACATTTTATAAAATATATGACACAAAAGAGTGGAAAATA